GTCGGAAAGTCCAACCAGCATCACACAAAGCTTTTATGTGAACTCTCTGCTATATTGACAGTTCTCTAAGATTTTTGAGCTGTGACAGTGTTAAACACTGTTTTTATCAAGGTTTAATTGTAGAGTGCTATTAAATTGATTTCTTCTAACATGTATTGGTACCATATGCTAGCTTCTTTTTATATAGTTAAGACACTGCATGGGGCACCATGAAAGTTATATATGAGACTCTAAATTTGATCAGTATGTTCAAAGCAGAATCCTTATGACATACCCTTGGTACAAGTATATGGGAATTCTAAAGAATGATAAGTATTCTCACCTTGGCTTATTCAGTTGTCATCAGGGATTAGTGAAGCATTACTATAGTGTTGAAATTTACAGCTTTGTGTGGCTCATTTTTGATAGTAAGGGCACCTTGCTATAGAGGGCATTTGGATGCAGTCGGAAGAGTACCCTTAATGTTGAGGTTCTACTGTACATCATACTTTCACTTTAGAAGTAAGTTCTTATTATTTGTATTTTAACCTAATAAATTTACTTTGAATGATTTTATGGTAATGACCAACATATAAGATTTAAAAGATTCCTTTTGTCATTTTCTTAATGCATAGCTCCACAATGGACTATCAAACCCTGTAATTTAGTGTTGTATGTCCATAAACTTACAGCTTACCCACTGAAGAATAGATTTGAACAACCTGTAGTGATTGCTCTATGTTTTGGTTTCTGCCAACTATTATAAGTCACATGAGAAGAATCACAGTATATATATTACATTCTATACTAATCACAGTTTGTCTATTTACTGACTTTTTTATAAAACACTAATATTTCTTGTCTGGGATGTGAAATATTTTTATTGAAAGTATCTTTATGTTAGTTTTCTGTGCTGTATTCAGATAGTGTTGACCCAGGCATCTTTGAGATGTGGTGCTATCAAACATGTTTTTCCAATTTCTTCTATGGGTATGTTATACAAGTAATGATCAATTCTGAAGTTTGGTAGAACATATACACTAGGTAATGGTTACTGCTGACTGAAGTTTGGTAGAACATATACACCAGGTAATGGTTACTGCTGACTGAAGTTTGGTAGAACATATACACCAGGTAATGGATACTGCTGACTGAAGTTTGGTAGAACATATACACAGCGTGGTCACCAGTAAATAGACATCACCTTTTCAGAAAAAATTAAAATTTTCAGTCATATTCACATGAATTGATATATTTATAATTTAATTAATATCTAGTAGATCTTCCTTTCGCTTCGTGGAGTTCGTTGATCCTTTGGAGCATCATGAGAATCATCTCGTCAATTTTAGATTGTGGGATTTTCGCCCACTCAAAGTTGATTTTTTTTGTTGTTTCTTGACTTATCGGTCGAGTATGGCCCAGAGGTTTTCGATGGGGTTCATGTCAGGAGATTGGCTCAGCCAGGGCAACTTCTGGATACCATTTTCTTCCTGCCACTTTTGGGTGTTTCTAGCAGTGTGAC